CATTTAACACCATCATGACAGATTATTTCCAAGACCTCAAGTTTGATACAGAAATACTCTTTTCTAGCGGAGGATATAGCAGCTCCTCTTCTCATGTTGGCACAAGCCCAGTCAACACAAATCTATTCTTCATACTCCTTCCCTCTTACTCTACGTGGTGAATTCCTTAAAGAATCCTGGTGTCAACATCTTAGTTTCCAAATACCCAATTGAAATATCTCCCATTTTACTGTCTTATTGTTTTTATCACCATCAACATTACGCCAGAAGACTCACAGTTTAACCCCTGCATCAGCAGTCTACTATTGCAGCAGTACTACAATTATTTTTGACATGCAATTAGTAATGGACAGTGCTGGGGTTTGAGCTCAGGCCTTGCTCTTGATAGGCTGCCACAGTACCACTGAGCAAAGCTCTAGCACTGTTTTTGTGATTATTTGTAGGATGGGATTTGCACTCAGGAACAGGCCTGACCCATGATCCACCTATTTTTAGGCTTTCCATTTTAGTTAGAATCACAGGTATGCACCATTGTGTCCAACTTCCCTCCAATGGAGAAGGATTTTCACAATCTTTTCTATGTGGGCTACCCTGGAACTAGTATTGTCTCAATTGCATCTTCTTGTATAGCTTGGTAGGACAGGTATGTGTCATTGTGCACACTTATGGGATGAGAAGGAATGTTCCAAATAGTTCTACCCAGGCTGGCCTTGAATAATTATCCTCTCATTCTCATCTTTCCAAGTAGCTAGAATTATAAATGTCTAGATGTTTTACAAAAATATTTTATGACACCAATTACTATGCTGAAATAGTATTCAATAACTATTTTTGCTGTTTTTTTGTTTTGTTTTTGTAGTCCTGGGCTTGATTTCAGGGACTGGTCATTGTCCCTGATTTTTTTTTTTTTGGTCAGTCATGGGGCTTGAACTCCAGGGCTGAACACTGTCCCTCAGTTCTTCAGCTCAAGGCTAGCACTCTACCACTTGAGCCACAGCGCCACTTCTGGTTTTTGTTTCTGGTGATTTTTTAATTGGAGATAAGAGTTTCACAGCTTTTCCTGGCCTGTCTGGCTTTGAACCGCGATCCTCAGATCTCAGCCTCCTCACTAGCTAGCATTATAGGCATGAGGAACTGCTGCCCGGCTTGTCTCGGAACTTTTTATTCAAATCTGGTGGTCTTCCACTTGAGCCACTGATCCACCTCTGAATTTTTTGTGACTAATTGAAAATAGGTGACTCATGGATTTTCCTGCCCAGGCTGGCTTTAAACTGTGATCCTCAGATGTCACATTTCTTAGTTGCGAGCAGTAAAGGCAGAAGTCAGTGGCACATGGCTCCCTTCACTACTATTATCTTACAAAAAAACACCTAATTTGTCAAAATATAAATGTGATTAGAAAATGACCACAAACATAATGTAAGGGAGAAATAAAAAGTAAATAGAAAGAAATAAAAAAAAGCAATTTGCAGAAAATTATATAATGAATAAAGGCTCAGAGATCACTCAGAAGAAGTAATACTGAAATGAAAACTTCATCATTATAATAAATTGAGAAATATTAAGTATTTCAGAAGCTATCTTGTTTAGGAAGTTCATTAGAAATGAGGTTTTCATTTATTAACTAATGCTAATAGCAAGAGGCTGCATTAATCAATCCATGGAAAAGAAAAGAAGAAAATAATCTTAAAGAGTGAAAATAGTATGAGAAGACTAATTATAAACTATCCATGAATAGATAACTATAACGTATGATATTTCAAATGAGCTAAGCCTAATTTATAGCATGAGTATGAGAACAATTCCTGTGCCTTGACACGGCAGAGCAGTAATAAAATAACACAGAGGGCATCATGAGGTCTGGAAGTTCCACTGCGTATTGAGGCGTTTAACCACTTGTCTATTTCTGTATAACACTCCCAAAGTGATGGGGTCAGACACCAAAGAATGAATATTTTGTACAGCTTTGAAGTTAACAGTTCTTCTACTCATTTCACCAGGGCACCAGTTGGCTGCAGTCAACTGCAAGATGAACTGAGTGAAGAGTAATAGGGATTCTCCTAGGTCTGCCAGTGTGTTGTCTACTAGCTAGTACATTCTTTTTTGTGGGTCAACTCAGGTTCCAGAGGCTACACCGCTGTGCCAGCTTCCTTACACAGCAATACCAGGGCCTCATTCCCAGAGAACAAACACAGAAGGGACATGTCTCCTGAGGACTATGTCCCATACTCACATTATTTTTATGACATTCTATTCATCCAAGCAAATCATAGAACCAGCCTAAGTTCAAGAAGTAAGGAACTATGACTTACCTATTTTAGTGTTTAGCACTAAAAAGGATACTTGAAAGGCATATCTTTGAGTGGAGAATGAAAGATGTAAAAAAAAAAATAAAATGAAAGAAATCCTAGATGCTGTAGAGTATTTTACATATGAGGATAGCAACCAATAACACAATCCCTGACATAGGATCAACATAGCAACATTTACTCCTTATAGCTGTCCTTTGAGATAAATTTTATTGCTATCATTATTTCACACAGAGAGAGAAGAAATTTTCCCCAGTCATGCAGCTATTGACCAAGTGAGTTTGAGATTTTTTAAGCTTTATATGATACCGACAAAATAGAGGAATGCTAGTTTTATCAGAGGTCTATAGTTAATTGGAGATGGTCCAGTAAAACTTGCATGATAATGAAACATTTAAGTGGAAAACCAAAGAAAGCAAAGGATTGAGTCAGAAAAATGAAGAACTCCCAGGATGGAAGAATAGGATGTCCAGGTCCCCAGGTAGGAGTGTAACTGGCAGGTTGGGAGATAGCAAAGAAATTGGTATATTGGAGAAGAGGGAGAAAAGGGGATAATGGTGAAAAGTGAAATCTAGGTGGTGCGCAGGTCGAGTTCCACTGAACAGATGCCACCCTTATGGATATATGTGAGGAACTCTGCTTGTTAGGTTAACTGCAAATGATGAAGTTTAGCAAAAGGGGAGCAGGGATATCAGATGGCTTGAATGCATAGGACACATAAAACCATTGAAATATTGCACCGTATGCTCCATGGTCCTTTATTATAACATACTATTTACTACATACTAATAATTTCTGCAAGGTTACATTATGGCATAGGACTTAAAAATCTCATCAAATGTCTTCCTTCTTCATTGTCCTATGTAGGATATAATAATAGAATAATAAAAGTTCTCAGAAGTTAGATTACCTGAGTTGGAGAAACTCTCACTTGAGAGATAGATGCTATTGAACAGGTTAATTATACGTGCCTCACACTTTTATTAAACTGCATTAACTAGGAGTAGTGTAATAACCAGTGGGACCCCATCAGCATGGCCCTGTGGCCTGGCCCGCTGGAGGGGGGCAGAGCATCAAGAGGTGAACCTCACCGCTCCAAGGACCAGGCCACCGGAGTGGGCGGGGCATTGAGAGGTTGACATCACCCCACGGGGCAGGCCACCGGAGGGGTGGGGCATGACACTGGAAAGGGGCAGGGTGTGCCCTGGAGGGGGTGGGGCATCGAGCCCCACATGGTGAGCTGTCAAGAAGTGATTGGACGGGGGGCAGCTTGGGGGAGGAGCACGAATGGCAGTTGGAAACCATCAGGCAGATGAAAAGGTGAGTCCTGTAGGAGCAGAGGAGGGTAGAGAGCAATGGAGAGGGGAGTAGGGAGGTCAGGTAGAATGAAGAATGTGGAGAGGGAGTGCAGAGAGTCAGCAGGAGGGAAAAGCAGGAAAGAGGGGCCTACCTGAGCAGAGCAGGATAGGCCTGTGGAGAGTGGAGAGCCCTGCAGAGGAGGAAGGGAAGAAAGGAACAGGCCTTCCCCTTGGGACCTTTGGAGTTTTGGAGCTTTGGAGGTCTGGGGTTGGAGAGGTTTGCAGACCGACTGATTTGGTGGTTTGCAGACCCACTAATAAAGGTCAGGGCTGCTTATTGGAGGCTTAGAGATTTGGTGGTGGAGGCTGCTCTTGGTTCTGGATATCTAGCCCAGGACAAGGTATTCGCAGACCCCCTAAGCTGTAAATGGTGTAAGTAAATTTGTTATCTTCAACCACGCCTCGATGGACTGTCTCGATCATTAGAGGTCATAATTTTAACGCTAATGATAGGCATCTAGAAGGTTGTTAGATGGTCAAATGAGTTACATGTGAAATACCCAGGGAATCACTTGGAAAATAGTTAAATATCCCATCACCTTTTATGCATTGCACTTGTGATTGCCCTTCTCTACAACAAGGTCTTTCTAAAGACAGGTTTTATACCATGTTTCCAGGGTCTAACAGATTGCCTACAACATAGTAAATGCTGAATGAATATTTATTGAATAAATGCCTATAAAGTTATATACCATCTCCAGGCAATTTATTTTTTTATTGTGAATGGGCAAGGTAATGAGTACATTTCTTATCAAGCATTGTTGCCTCCTCCTTGGTTTCCCCTTCCCATCCCTTCCCATCTCCCCCGCCCCAGCTAGCTCCTCCCCACCCCCCACCCCCAGCCAAAGTTGTAAAGTTCGTTTTCGACAAAACGACTGTACCTCTCATTATTGCAATGGGTCCATTGTATCCCTATTTAAACAATTTGTTTTTTTTCCCTTCCCCTCCACAAATTATACCAACATCAAATACAATGAAAGCAGAGGTTATACCGTGGAGGAGGGACATACGAAGCAACAAAGAAATCATCTTCTAAATATGTTAGAAACAATCACAAGAAAGAAAAAAAAAACATTTGAATACTTACCTTGGAGTTCATTTCCCTAACATCAACTTATCTGACCTTTTCTGCTTGTCTCGGACATATACTAGTTATTGCAAATAAGGGAAACCATGGGACCTATGTTTCTTTGGGCCTGGCTTACTTAGAATTGCTATAATCAAGAATTCTAATAACAACAGATGCTGGAGGGGATGTGGACAGAAGAGAACACTACTGCATTGTTGGTGTGAATGTAAACTTGTTCAACCACTTTGGAAAGCAGTATGGAGATTCCTCAAAAGACTCCACATAGACCTCCCCTATAACCCAGCAATCCCCCTTTTGGGCATTTACCCAAATGATCTCTAGGTAATTTCTTACAACTTCAAAACCCCTTTCATGAAAAAAGGAATTATTATATTCTACATAGAATTACTACATCTTCATATTCTGAGAAATGATCAATATAATCATATAAGCTAATCCTCCAGTTATTTCTCCGTGTCATATGGCCTTCCTCTCTCAAACTTGAAGAATTGTATTATTTCATTTGTGTGTTTGCTTGCTTTGGTGATTCTGCGATTTGAACTAGTCCTTGGGCTTATTAGGTTGGTATTCAAACCATTGAGCTATATCTTTAGCATGTTTTTTTTGTTATTCTAGCAATATTTGTGAGTCTCATTTTCTACCTGGGCATCACTTAACCTATGTTAGGATTCCTGGTAGATAGAATACCAGGCACATGACATAGTGTCTAACTGTTCATTGTGTCTAACTGTTCAAAATGTCTCTCAAATTTTTTCTGCTCAGGCTGACCTCCAACCATAATCTCAAACAATTCATGCTGACAAATGACTAGGATTATAGGCATCAGTCATGGATACCTGGCTAGACAATTCTTTTTAAATATATATTATTTTGTTATAACCAAAAGCCAGAAGCCACAGTTTTGGCTCTCTTTCCCATTCCCACAATTACACATGATGTCTTTTTCATGACATGCAAGGCCTTGAACAATTTTCTTCAATTCCAAGACTTTATTGTCAACATGATATATATTAATAGAGGAAAGAAGTATTATAAAAGTATTCAAATAGAGTGAAAATAGCAACCCTGCTTGAAAGAAAGAATATGTCAGCTTCCTTACCTCATAGGTGCTGGTGATGCCAGATCTGTAGAACACAGGGATAAAAAGCTCAGATGTAAATGTGACGACAAAAAAATATGAAATGAAGAAAAATATGAAGGATGCTCCAAAGCGATAGACATCTGCAGGGCTTCCCAGGACAGTGACAGCCGACATGAAGCTGGCTGTCAGAGACAAAGCTACAGGGCCAAAGCTCATTTGCCTTCCTCCTACCAGGAACTCCCCAGAGGTTGCCTTTTTCCTTTCCTTAATAGCAAAGAACACGCCAATTCCTGAGGAAATGACAAAGAGGGCTGCAAATACAACATAATCCCAAGCTGAAAAGCTTTTCATCTTTATGCTGGAAAGTATGACCAAAGAACGTTGCTTCCAATCAGGTCTCAATAAAAAAAAGATGGACTCCAAGAGCGAAACTTAGAACAGCCACTGCTTTACTGAGCAGGCTGGGATTCTTTGAGGAAGATGAGGACCATAGGCATGCTTACAGATCTTCAGATATCAAGTAATACTCAGGAAATGAATCAAGAAAGAAACTGTTGATGGAGCTGATACAAGAGATGAGAATTTGAAAATCTGACCCTGCACAAGAGCTTTCTATTCTTCTCCTGAAGCAGAAACCATAGGCAAGAAATATCACAGCTCTTCTGAAATTAACCACTGGGACTGGAATGGACTTGCTAGATAATCTGCTTTTTTATCTTCTAGATTTGTTTTTAACAAAGTTAAACATTACTAGGAAGCTTCGAAGTGATATTGACCATCTCAGCATTTTTAATTAGTGAAATGGAATCTGAAAATGCCAACAGAACACTCTGGGGTTGTAGCTCTCCTGATTGAGGGAGGGTGGAGGATGCTGTACTCGCAGTTGCCTAGGTGGTGAGTGTAGAAGGTAAGGAGCAAAGAACTATGGATCCAGAGACCTTTGGTCCAGTCTTGTCTCAACCACACATACGCTCCTTTTTAACAGATCATTTAACTTTTATAAACTTCCTTTGGAACATTGAGATAAGACCTGATGAGTCTTTCAGTTTCAAGCTCCCTAAACATGTTTTTTCTGATGGATGAACTGAAAGATACCCTTCTCAACCTTATGGGTTATTATTTGTGTTTGCAGTGAAGCATTCCTGAAAATAACATTCTCCTTTGACTCCCAAAATGTATTTCCCAACAATGACTTATTTATGGTCCTTAACTTTATCTTCTTCCCTTCCTTTCCACCAGCTTGCTGTACTTGTGTCCAAAGGCCTAGTCAGAATTGACACCAAGAAAATTGGAAAACTGCAAAGCAGTGAAAACCTAATTAGGGATTCCCATTACTGGCTTTCTTTCTTTCTTTCTCTCTCCCTATAAGTGTATCTCCTCGGTGTCTCTGTCTCTGTCACTCGCTGTCACTCTCTGTGTCTCTGTCTCTGTCTCTGTCTCTCTCTCATGCACATATCTAGTAATTCTTTGGGTGATGGTTTCTTTCTTCTGTGCTTCTCTTTTCTGCTGGATGCTAGATTGTCTTCCCCATTCCCACCTCTACAAAGCCAGCTTACCACACAATATTTAATTCAAGTCCCCTCAATTCTGTGCAGCATTCTTACCCCTCTATCCCAATTCCTGTAGCAAACAGCCTACTGCCCACTGCTCTCTGTGTATTCTGAAATTATCCTCAAGTATTATAATCAGTCTCTATGTGTATCTGGAAGACACCGTCAGATGTTAAAGATGACCAGTTTTTTGAAGATAGAGACATAAGGGACCAGTCCATATATGGTGTATAGTATTGGTTATTTAAAAGTAAGAAAATTAAGTTAGCACTTGAGGTTCACCCCTATAATCCTAGCTACTCAGGAAGGTGATATCTGAGGTTTGTGGTTTGAAACCAGCCCAAGCAGGAAAGTTGAGGAGACTCTTATCTCCAATTAAGCATCCATAAACTGAAGTAGAGTTGTGGCCCAAGTGGTAGAGTGTATCCTTGAACAAAATATCCCAAGGACAGCACCCAGGCCCTGAGTTCAAGCCCCATGACAGATAATCTCCCCCCCACAAACCACCTAAATTCTCAATAAAGCCCAAAGATAACTATTTTGAAATAGAAACAACTCTAATTTTGTTTTTGTTATCTGGATGATTGGATATTTAATCACTAGTTTAGTGTAGAAGACCACTTCTCTATATCATATGTCAGAAAGTTCTGATGGTTCTCTGCCTTACAAAGAATTCAGTATTGGCATATCTATCATTATAATCTGTGATAGTAACCTTTGAAGCTATCATTATAACTCATTATAATTATCTTTGAGTGTTGTAGTGCCCATATAAGACCTGAATACAATAAATATGTGTGTTCTACCTGTTTAATTTCAGCTCTCTCTATTCTATTGACACATACCATTATTGATATATGTCAATTAATAATCCTACAAAGGCTCAAATTTTAAGAGTCACACATCTCTGACTTTAAAACAAAGGCTAGAAACTATTCAGTATAATGAGGAGGGCATGTCAAAAATCAAGAGGCCAGAATCTAGGCCTTTTGCATAAGTTAGCCAAATCATGAATTAAAAGGAAAAGTCTTTAAAGAAAATTAGAAGTGACATTCCTTTTATGAGATCAAAACAAATAGTGCGGATGCAGAGAAAATTTCAATCTTTCAAATAGAATATCAAACCAGCCTCAACACTTTTTTGAGCCAACTCCTCATGTACAGAAAGTTTCTATCTCTCTTCTATTCTATCAAGATAGAGTAGGGAGTCTGTAGAAGTCTGATTGGTTCATGAAGCTTAAGAAAGGAAAGCAACTCAATGACATGAAAGTGTACCTGATGCTCCAGGTGGTGATGTGGGAGTCCCACAAAGTTGTTCAGAAGACCTAGGCAAAATGACTGATGACAGTGACACACTAAGAAATTTTCAATGAAGATGAAAATGCCTTCTTACAGGAGATATATACTAGAACTTCCTCAACTGGGGAAGGAGCTACAATGCCTGAAAGCTTCAGAGGACAGGCTGGATTCTCTTATTGTGAACTAATCCAGTTGATAACTTGAAATTGAACCTATTCTCATTTATGAGTCAGAAAACTGCTGGTCGCTGGTGGCTCATGCCTGTAATCTTTGCTACTAAGGAGGCTGAGATCTTCAGATTGAGGTTCAAAGCCAGCCTAGGCAGAAAAGTCCATAAGACTCTTATCTCCAATAAACCACCAGAAAACCAGAAGTGGTGCTGTGTCTCAAGTGGTAGAGCACTCGCCTTGAGCTAAAGAGCTGAGGGACAGTGCCCAGGCCCAGAGTTCAAGACCCACAACCAAAAAAAAAATTCAGAAAAATCCAGTGGACATAAAAGAATTACATTAATTCTACTCTTTCTATGATGTTTCTTTCCCCTCTTTTGTAAAGTGTCTTTAATTCTAACAACAAAATTTGAATGACAACACACTTATTTAAAGTATGAATTATGGAGTGCCCGTGCTAAATGTTGAAACCTACTATTCAGAAGAAAATATTCCTTTTAAACTATTGCTCATTAATAATATCATTGAGCAACCAAGACCTATGGAGGAGTACAAGATTATCATTTTCAGGCCTATAAACCCAACATTCATTTTGAGCTCATAGATATAAGGGTAATCTCAACTCTCAAATCTTATTATTTAATAATAATAATGATAATAAATATAATGATTCGTCTTGTAGATATGGAAAAATATATTTAAAACCTTCTGGAAGAGGGTCATGATTCCAGGTGCTACTAAAAGTATTCATGATTCTTGGGAGAATGTTCAAATGGTGATATAGCAGACATTTGAAAGATGATTCCAACTCTTGTGGGTGACTCAGAAGTTCAGTTTTTCAGTAGAGGTGGTAACTGCAGATATAATGATCATAGAAATAGAATGAAAAGTGAAGTCTGGTAATGGGACTGAATTAACTTCAGTCAATGATATGATCTGAACACATGGGAAATTTCTTTTATCGATGGGGAATAATAGTGATTGCTTGAGATGGAATCTACCTGGTGGAGATGGTGTCACCACTATTGAAATGACACTAAAGATTTATAATACTGCATGGGTTTTTTTTGCCACTAAATTAATTGCAGTGTTTGAGAGGATTGACTCCAGCTTTGAAAGAATTACTATTATAAGTAAAAAGCTTTCAAGCATCATTGCATGTTATAGAAAAATCTTCCATCAAAGGAAGGATTGATTTGTGTGGTAAATCCCATAGCTGTCTATGTTACAATATTGACAACAGAATTTAGCAACTGCCAGCCTGAACAGAAACCACCAAGACTGAGGCAAGGCTCTCCACCAGGATCATAAGATGATTATTAGTATTTGTGTCATAGGAATGAACTTTTTTTAGGGGATGGGGGGTTCTTGGTCCTGAGGCTTGAACTCAGGGCCTAGGCAATGTCCCTGAACTTTTTGCTCAGGGCTCGTGCGTTACGACATAAGCCACAGCTTCACTTCCGCCTTATGTTTGTGTGTAGTTAATTGAAGATAAGAGTTTCATGGACTTTCCTGCCCAAGTTGGCCCTGAAATTTCATCATTATGTCTCATCTCTTGAGTAGCTAGGCTTACAGGTATGAACCAACAGCATCTGGCTAAACATAATTGTGTTTCATTTCCCAATGAAATGAAACGAATTCAGATGATTCCCTTTTGATTTCTGTATCACTTTATTTCAGTGATGCGGAACCAAACCCATACTATTTTGAGGTTCATTTGTGTTCTGATTACACAACAGTTTTCTGCTGTGGTGTTTCAGCAGAAACTCAGAACCTTGCTTGACTTCCAGAGAACTGACAGTGTTATATTTAATATTAACATCCTCTATAAGTTAATGTTCAACCCAAAAGACGTGTAAACAACTTGTAAAAGTCAAGTGAACACTGGGCTAAACATTATCATAACATCAATGGGGTGAAGAGTCAATGAGCAGTATTACTTTTAATTATATTTCATGCAGAAACAATACTTTCCATGGCTCTCCTCAGTCTTAGGTTTCAGGGCAGAGGGAAACAGAATGGTTCTCAGGAATGTGACAAATTTTCCACAGCTCTCAGAGAAATAATATATTTCTTTTTTATTTTTATATTTAGCTTATGATAAAATTATAGTGTCACTTTATTAATATTCTAATTTCTCCAAATTTACCTACTTTCTCCAAATTTACCTATTTCCTTGATTTGGTGTCATTAACTGTCCTCAATTTGTCATTCTCTTTCCCATTAAGACTCACTCCATGAAAGGTTCATGTTGGTTATATGGTAGAAATTATGAATTAACCTTTCAGAAATGACAAAAGAACTATCAATTTCAATGACAACATCAATTTGAAGTCATATTCCTACATTAGAAATGATAACACAGAAAAGTAAATGGGTGGAAAATGTTTCTCTTTTACCTAAAAACTGTCAGCATTTTCTTTACCTTCTTTCTGGGGCCCAAAATGCCAAAATTCTGTGGAAACAGATGTCACCTTCAACATTTCAGAGGTAAACTTCACAGTCCGCTTATTAAGACCAACAGAGAGAATTATTTAATATTCTAACAAGCTAGTGGCAGCACAATTCTACAGTAAATAAGTAGAGCATATCAAGAACTATTCATTTGGGAAGTCAGTTGACCATGAGGATCAAGGTCCCTGGCCAGTCATC